TTGGCTCTGGGTGCAGAACATGCTTTCTGGTCTTTTGCAAAAGGCTATCAAAATCAGTTGCCGAGAAGTATTAAAAAACGGAAAACGATAAAAGAAGATAAAGAAGCAGATGAAGGGGAAAATTTCTTTAGGATGTACAAGGTCTCCTTGAGCCAAAACAAGGCCTCTGTTTGGTGCTGACTGGTTTTCAAACTAAACAGAGCCTGGCCTTTGGAGCGGGTCATAGCTGTGGCGAGGTGTCTCCAGGTCATGACAGGAGCAACTCCAGAGAAAGGGATAGTGGAGGACAGCAAGGAGCAGCCCAGCCAGGGCTGAGAAAGAAAGGAAAAGCAGGGAGGGTGACTCAGTGACAGACAGCCTCCCTGTGTGCAGGCAGCAGAGGGGAGCCGGGAAGGCACTTTCCCGCAGGTCCCGGGACACTGTAGGGCAGCGTGTGTGGGGACGCTCCTTCACTGTGGTTACTGTCTGAGAAGCGGTCTGCGTCCACAGAGGTTGTGCCAAACTGAGCCACCTCCCAGCGTGGGTCTCGATTTCAGTTAACAAGCGACTTGGACTGGTGCTGAAGTTCCCCACCCAGAAGCCGGAGCCATAGACATTCTAGAAGGTTATCACAGAGGTCCTAAAGATTCCAGACTATGCTTGACATAGTGTCACCACAACAACAAAAATTAAACTAGGAAGTTAAGCTTCCCAATCCAACCGCTGACTTACAGGAAGTACCAAGAGCAGAACACCACAGAGCTGCACCCACGAACGCGGATGTGTGCAGACCTCCCGGGGGCCAATGCCTCGGTTTCTTCTCCAAACTGCAAGGAAAGAAGGGAGGCAATCTACAGAGCTCAGGAGACACGGACGTGTCGGCCCACAGCCCTGTACAGACGGGGCTTATTTGCACCCCGATGAGAACGAGCTACGTGAACATTTCATGAAACATCTGGGGAAATTTCAGAAGTGACAGAACATTTGAAGAGGTCAAAGAATGAATGTTAACATAAATTTTAGTATGATAATGGTCTTTTTTTTTTTTTTTAAGAGCTTTCACATTAGAGATACATATGCTGAAATGTCTATGGATGAAATACCCTGCTGCCTGGGATTAGCCCCTAAATAACTGGGGGACGTGGGGAGGGCGCGGCTGGGCATGCGGCCGGTTTGGCCATGAGCCGCCCGCCGGGGCGCCGCGTCCACAGAGGTTGTGCCAAACTGAGCCACCTCCCAGCGTGGGTCTCGATTTCAGTTAACAAGCGACTTGGACTGGTGCTGAAGTTCCCCACCCAGAAGCCGGAGCCATAGACATTCTAGAAGGTTATCACAGAGGTCCTAAAGATTCCAGACTATGCTTGACATAGTGTCACCACAACAACAAAAATTAAACTAGGAAGTTAAGCTTCCCAATCCAACCGCTGACTTACAGGAAGTACCAAGAGCAGAACACCACAGAGCTGCACCCACGAACGCGGATGTGTGCAGACCTCCCGGGGGCCAATGCCTCGGTTTCTTCTCCAAACTGCAAGGAAAGAAGGGAGGCAATCTACAGAGCTCAGGAGACACGGACGTGTCGGCCCACAGCCCTGTACAGACGGGGCTTATTTGCACCCCGATGAGAACGAGCTACGTGAACATTTCATGAAACATCTGGGGAAATTTCAGAAGTGACAGAACATTTGAAGAGGTCAAAGAATGAATGTTAACATAAATTTTAGTATGATAATGGTCTTTTTTTTTTTTTTTAAGAGCTTTCACATTAGATATACATGTTGAAATGTCTATGGATGAAATACCCTGCTGCCTGGGATTAGCCCCTAAATAACTGGGGGAGGTGGAGAGGGCGCGGATGTGCATGAGGAAGGTTTGGCCATGAGCCGACAGCAGGGGAGCCGGTGCTGGTCCGTGGTAGCACACTACACCTTCTCTCCAGGGACAGGACATCAGGCCTTCACCAGCGAGATGCCCTACAGCCTTACAAATATTTTGGTGATCTTATTAAAATTAATTGCAACTTTCATTTACTGATCTGCTTTATATTACATGTCCTGCTCTATGATCCCTTGGCCTGGCGGTTAGGAATGTCAGATCCCACATGGCCAACCATGTGGTTGGAACCCTGGCCCAGGTGGCCTAGAAAACACCACAGGGCTTGTGTGCCCAAAATCCCAACAAGGAGAAATGAAAGAAGATTGCAGCAGGACCCACTCCATTGGGGGGTGCTCCCCCCCCCCACTTTCCCTCTGTCTCTTGCAAGCCCAAGAACGCTTTGGCAAAAGACAAGAGCAAATGGATAAATGAGTTCATCAATGCTAAACCCTGGACTCGGAGGCAATGTTGTAGCACGGCTCAGATTAGCAGCCTGTTCCTGTTGGGACTCTGTTCCTTACGTCCGTATGAAACCCCGTGCTATGGTTTGCATGTGTTCCCCCAAAAACTCACACGTTGAAATCTGACGACTGGACCAGCAGTTAGCATAATGGCTATGTCACTGGATTCCCATGTAGTCAACCACGGTTCAAGTCCTGGACCCGGTGGCTTAAACTCACACCAGTGTACATGCCCAAGATCCTAAGAGGAGAATGGAGGAGAAGGGATTGTGGCATGGCCATCTCCCTGGAGGGTGATTTCTTCCTTTCTGTCTCTCTGTCTTTCTGGTGAGTGCACATACCCTATAGCAAAAACCTCTCAAAAAAAACACAAAACACAAAAAAACAAAACTTGATGAGTCATTGTAATGGTGGTGAAGGCGGGGGCCTAACCTGATTATGGCGTTGAAAGGAGGGGCTTTTGGGAAGTGACGGCATCAGACTGAGTCCCGTTTATAAGGAGAGTGAATGACAGATCCGCTGTGCTCCACTCAAGCTCCCACCCTCCATCATGTTATCCATTAGCAAGAAGAGATAGATTAAAAAAAAAACTAAAAAAGAATAAATACAGACTGGACTAGAACATCCAGTCATCTTATTTATGCTTTTCTTCTCTGTAAAATAAGAGGGAGTACAGGAGACCTGGTGCAGGAGGCGCTGGTCCCCTGTCTGACCATTAGCAAACTGCAGCTGGGGGGCGACAGAGGCAGCACTGGCAGAAGTAGACAGAGGGCCTCACTCTGTGAAAGCTATGCTGTTTGAGCACGTGCACAGAGATGCCTGGGAAGAAATATGAGTGGTAGAAAACGCTGGCGAAATCATTTGTTCCTGCATCCAACAATGTTTTCGAGTGCTTCCGATGGGCCAGGGGGCCGGCCGGCCAGGGCATAGGCGGGCACGGCACTCTCCTCTGGCTAACGCTGTAGGAAAGGCAGGTGGGTCGGCACGGAGAAGCCAGAGTCAAGCCTTATGGGGGCGGCAGTCTAGAGAGATGCGCAGTGGGCCATTTGCATGACGACGCAGAATCAGCCAGGCTGGATTTGGAAGGAACTGGGGGAGAGGAGGGTGGGGAAGGAGAAAGGGTTCCAAGCTGCTGAGGGCAGGCAAGTGCAAAGACCCTTGGGCAGGAAGGAGTGATCCCAGGGTCTGAGGATTGCCAAGCAAAGAGCAGCACAAGTGAAGGCGAAGCGTGAGTGGCCGCGATCTCATTGTTATATCTATACTTCCAAACGATGTAAATATTTTACGAGAAGCGTGTCTCACTCTTGCAATTAAAAAAAAAACAAAACTTAAAAAAGAAGTGCAACATCAAAATGCCTTGTGAAATTTCAAGATCACATTTTTTCTACTTATCTCTCAAGAACATACATTTAAGGTTTGCCATAGGGTGTGTGTGCTTGCTGGAGAGAGAGGGAGCATGAGAAATCACCTCCCGGGGGTATAGGCATGTCACGATCCCTTCGCCATCCTCCTCCTGCAATTTTGGGTACGCACGCACATGTGCCCGGCATGATTTTCAAGACACACGGGGTCTGGGACTTGAACCACAGTTGGCCATGTGGAAGTCCAGTGCCTTAATGACCATACCACCTGATGGCCCCTCAAAAATCGATACCATTTTAAAATTCATTCCATTTGCTAACGACGGCACCCAGTTTAACTATAACGAGCACAGTGGCCTCTCCTACCTGCTTTGCTCCAGGGCTCTCTGGGCCGACTCGTCGCCTTTCCCTCTGGTGACAGGTTAGAGCTGGAAATGATCATGAGGTCTCATGTAAATGACATTTCTGCCAATGGCATGGAAGGTTTGGCCCACTGACAGGTTTCAGGACATTAGGCTGAGTTTGGAGGGAAGACCACTAGTGGGTGGGGAAGCTTAGCAAGCTGGCTTTTCCCTGGAAAGAAGCGAGAAGAAAGAACTCAGGCAGAGAACCCCTCTGCAAGTTGGCAACTGCCAGCCTCATCTGCTACCTGCTGCTGGGACCGTGTGTTTTCCTGGTTCCTTTTCACAGCCCAAGGCTGGGACCACTGCTTTGACATGGAGGCAGTGCATGCACTTGTGGGGCCAGAGGAGCCCCCTGGGTGGGAACAGGAGCCGGAAAGGCAAAGCAGCACAGCAGCTCCCGGTGGGACGAGCTGCCCCTCCCGCTTCCATCTGCCCAGTAGAACCCAGCGAGGGCCTTTCAAGTCGCACCTTGCGGTTGCTCCTGGCAGCAATGCCAGGTTTATTACGGGTTTGTTCATCTTCCTGTTTTGATCCTCTCCCTGGGTCTCCACCCAGCTCGGAACCTTTCATCTTGTCAGGTCTAGGGAGGCTCTGGAGCCTAGCGTAGGTGGGACCGAAGAGTCTGTCCTCAGCAGTCGGAGAAAAGTGGACAGAAAGGTTCTAGTCCCAGGAGGGAGGCACCTCCCGGCAGACCCCCCTGTGATGTCTTTGACTTACCCTCTCTACCTCTAAGGGCTTTTGCTTTTTTGTTTCCCCTTGGGGAAGATAAATGAGAGACTACCTGCTGCATGCTCTCATCTGAGGCCAGAGGGCTAAGTCCACCACTAAAGAAGCCCCCACAAAACGATGGCACACCCCTGGCCAGACCTTCATGGTGCCTCATGTCCAAATGGCTGAGCATCAATCTGGAGTCCAGAGCCACCTCTGAGCCCTGTCACTCAGTGGAGGTGCAACCTTGCACAAATGGTCAACCTCTCTAAGCCTCGCTTTCTTCATCTGTGAAATGGGAGAATAATTTCCTCTTAGAGCTGTTGATCTATTTAAGTGCACTTCTCACCCTGTCAACTTGATTATTTAAGTGTGTCCTCAGTAGCCTGCCCAGGCCAAAGCAGGCGGTAAGGACGTATTTGGGGAGATCATAACGCAAGGCCCCCTGGCGTGTGCAGATACACAGAACACAGCAACAAAGGGAGTCCACTATTTATAGTGGAAAACCATTTTACTTTCACAATGACCAACCAGCGTGAGCTGTGGTCAGGCTAGACCCTGCACCCCGTTCACGAAGGACAGGCCCCCACAGGCCTCGGCACCTTGCTCTAGGGCTTGCCTTGTTCTCTCTCTTAAGTTCTCATCCCAAGCAGGGACTCCTTCCTGGGACTTCAGAATTCCAGTCCCCTGCTCTGGAAGAGGTGGAGCCAGCAGGGAAAGGGCGCAGCTCACCAAGTCTGCCAGGGAATGACATGGTACTGTGGCAGAGCTGGTGGGTAAATACAGAACATCGTGACATGTGAGTGTCATAAACAACAAACCTCTCCGTAAAAGTATATCCCAAGAAAAACAGCTTTCAGTTGTTCCAAAGCGGCCCGTAACTTAGTTCGCTACATCGGACGGTCCTACCAAGTGGGCGCTGGGGCTTTCACCCAGGCCTGCCTGACACGCCGGTCTTTCCCTGCTCCTGCAAGATTAGGGACGTCTTCGGGTGTTAAGGAAGAAAGAGGCTAATGGGGAGGGCTTCTCGGCCCTCCATTACTAAAGACACGTTAATTGGGGCAGGAGTTGCCACTGCCCCATCACAGCTGAAGCCAGTGGCCAGAACGAATCTGGCACCGTGGGTGGATCTGCAAAATCTCCCTTCAATGAAAGATGGCTGATTTCTCGCCCCCACCGGACAACGCAGTACCTCAAGGCACTCTGGGTCCCACGAGCCATGCAGTTGGCGCAGAGGCGTCCGCGCCGACCACCTCCCAGACCCACACCCAGGGACTCACCCCGCTCTGCATCCCAGGTGGGCCCTGCCTGGACAGCCCTGCGCCTGCGCACTCCCTGCAAAGAGTGGGCGTGCTATGCACATGCGTCTGCCCCGCCCGCCTCGCCTCTTGCTTCGGAGTGCGCACGCGCTGCCCCTCAGAAAGCGCGGGAAAGGCCCCGGAGCGCGCTCAGGGGCGGGCGGCCGGAGGCTTCGAGTTGAGTTCCCGCCTAGGGCGCTTCCGCGGCCCCCCATGGGGCCTCCGCCCTCGTTCTTCCAGGTGTTGGACCAGCACCGGGCGACCCTGCTGGCCGCCCTCAGGAGCGGCGGGGGGCCCCCCGGCCAGGGCCGCCGCCTGCCCTCTAGGTACCGGCGCCCCGGCCCTGGGGCAGCCGTGCGTGGGGCCCTTCCCCAGCGCCCCAGGGCGAGGCCACCGGGTGGGCCCAGCGGGCCAGCCCAGAACCCCACGGCGTTCTGCGTTTAACCCCTAGTTGGACCCCCAAAGCCTGGCGACAGCCCCCACTCTAGAATGTCTCCTTCTAGAATGTTCCGAGCGTACCCTCTAGCGGGTTGGTGGGTTTGCTAAGGCGCTCGCCGCGAGGAACTGCGGCACGGTTTGGGTTTGTGGTGTTAGTTTCCATTTTGGGGTAAAACTTAACTGGGAAGTTTTCAAGTTGGGGGGAGAAAGAGAAAAATGAACGTGCCCCGACGTGAGCGAGGCCTCCCGGCGCGCATCGGGGCAGCGGAGGGCTTGCAGGACCGGAAGGCGGCGTGCCGTGACGTCATGGGGGCACCCCGGCGGGGGGCGCCGGCCGGAAGGGCGGCGTGCCGTGACGTCATGCGGCGTAAGGCGGGAGACGCCCTCCCCCGTTGGCCGTTTACTGAAATGCCCTGTGGCTCCCTTCTTCCGGTTTTCCGGCTTATCCCGTAGACTGAACCGACTCCCCGCCCGACACCGCAGCACACGCGTCGAGGGCCGAGCGTAGTTTGCGGGAGGCGGGGCGGCGCGCCCCTCGTCGAATCCGATTAGTCCAGAGTCGCTTCCAGGCGGGGAAAATGAGTTTGTTTCAGGCTGGGAAAAACGAATGGGTGTTTGAGTTCGTTTTCACCTCTCAGTAGAAAATAAACGTTTTACGGTTACTTTTCGGGTACGTAAGTGTTCTTAAGAGCCTCTGAAGTTTCCATGAAAATTACGAACTCCACGTTTTGCTCTTTGCCTGGAGTTAATCTGCCTTTTCGTCCTAGAGAGCGCGCTACTGGTACCTCTACCAGAAGGACATCTTTTGAAGTTGATGGCTTGTGAAATTGAGTCAGCTGACAGAAAACGTCTTCAGTCTTAGCATTTTGCTGTGAAGTGGCTAATAGTTGCCAAGCCAACTATTTAGTGCAGAACTCACGATTTATTCTTTTTATGGCAACAAACTTTTTTATCACTAAAACTCGAGAGGGCTGATTTTGAGGCATAATGTCTATTTGGGTGCTGTGCTCCAATAAATGTTTGCCAATGTTACTTATCTTAACATTTTTAGAGACAGGGTCTCTTTCTGAGATTGGTGTAGAATTTACAGTTCTCGTGTGTCACCCTCCAGAGTAAACTGGAATTACAGGTGTATGCCACTGCACCTGACTTGTCTTTAAAAAATAAACAACTTATAATTCAATTCCATTTTCTCATTAGCTTCCTCGCCCTCCCCCACTTCCAGAGGATGTATGCAAGTGGGTGGGGGATGGAGAGTGAGCCAGAGCCCAAACTGGCCTGGTCATGCTGCGGTCCCTTTTATCTCCAATTCTCTGTCCCGGCAGCACCCTGGCACACACTTGCACTCACTTAGCGTGTTTTTAAGTCACCAGGGCCAGTCCCGTGGTCGACCATGTGGGACCTGGCCTCTCCATGGTTTAACCCTGAACTATGGGCCAGCCCTCCAATATTACATTACTTTTAATTAAAACATTGATCGGTTTTTCAGGTCAACAAGTTGAATTGAGCTAAATTAAGTTAGTATGAAAAATGGATTAAAATATTTGTGTAAATTATATGATCTAGTTATTAATATAAAAGGAAGATAGTTCTTTAATTAGTAATAGAAAAAATTATAAGCAAATGAAATTTCTTTTGAAATAACTACAGTAAACAGTTCTTTTAATGCAGTACCGATGTCAAGATTTAATAGGTGAGAGCATTACTGACATGGAGTACCTAATCTTCAAAAGCAACCAATAAAATAGAACCTTATTTTATTTTTTTAATTATTTATTTTGGAGAGGTTTGCACTATCGGATATGTGTGCTTGTACGCCAGAAAGACAGAGACAGAGAGACAGAAAATGAGAAATCACCCCCCGGGGGGATGGCCACACTGCAATCCCTTCTCCATTCTTCTCTTGGGGGCTTGGGCATACACACACACGTACCTGGCGTGAGTTTAAGCCACCAGGTCCGGGACTTGAACCACAGTCTGCTACATGGGAGTTCAGTGACATAGCCATTATGCCAACTGCTGTTCCCGAAACTTAGTATTGGTCTAGGGAAATGTTGCATGTTGTAAAGGCCAAGTTGATCATTAAGTCTTGAATCCTATGTGTTTGTTTTCAGTTCTGAAGTACTTGAATCCATAGAAAATATCATCCAGAACATAGTCACAAGCTTGGCAAGAAATGAAGCACCTGCATTCATAGTGGAAAACAGATCAAGCTGGGAAAACATAAAGTGGGCATTTGCATTTTTGTTTTTAAATGTAGTATTATGTCTTCATTTGAATTTCCTTGACTTAAAGTTCTAGTTAGATGTCATTCTTTTTATTGTCTTTCGCTGCCAAAAAAAGGGGGAGGATTTAGGAAGTTTACCAACTACATACCATAGAGGAAGGTTGTGTACACTAGAAGTAGGTAGGAAAGATAAGACAAAAACAATGCTAGCAACAAAGTGAACCCCCAAAAAGGTTACAGTTCAAACTGTATGTGATAAAGTGGTCTTGCTAGAATGGGCACCAAACTCGGATCTGAGCTTCGTAGCGCTCAGGGGGGAACAGGGCCCATTTCAGATCTTTACAGTGAGAGCAAACCACTGTCAGGGGAAGTGCAACTAGTCCTGACACCAGACTGAGACAAAGTATCCTGGACTTAGAGCACAGGTACAGGGCTCTGCCTCCAGGCAGATCATATGCTAAGTCATGTGGCCCAGAAAGGTAAAATCAGCAAACAGCTTTATTATAAGAATGAACCTCATACTTCGTCAGAGTTACAGAAACAATCAAGGAATTCGAGGCTCATTAGTCACTATTATTTTATGATCAATAATGTCAATATAGGGACCAGCAGTTAGCATAATGGCTATGTCGCTGAACTCCCATGTAGTTGACCATGGTTCAAGTCCCAGACCCAGTGGCTTAAACTCACACCGGGCGCATGTGCGTGCGTGCCCAAGATCCCGAGAGGAGAATGGAGGAGAAGGGATTGCAGCATGGCCATCCCCTCTGGAGGGTGATTTCTCGCTTTCTGTCTCTGTCTTTCTGGTGAGCGCATGCGACCTATAGCAAAAACCTCTCAAAAAAAAAAATATATATATATATAAACTATATACTTTTTTTTTGGGGGGGGGAGTTCAGAAAGCAACAAATCAACCCCCAGGGGGCATGGCCACGCCACAATCCCTTCTCCATTCTCCTCTCGGGATCTTGGGCACGCACTCACACGCGCCCGGCGTGAGTTTTAAGCCCCCGGGTCCGGGACGCGAACCGTGCTCGACTATGTGGGAGTCCAGCGACATAGTCATTACGCTAACTGCTGGTTCCCAAAACTATATACTTTTGAATCACATTTTGCACTGTATTTTGAAAGATGGTTTCATCCAGTATCCGAGGAGCTGGCAGCTGGCCTCTTTGCCTGGTGCCTTCTGCCACCTGTAGGAGAGACTTGGCAGTTCAGTTTAACAACCTAATATACACTGCTATTTTACGTAATGTAACTTTACATGTAAATTGGAAATAAAATATTTCAAAATTTAGTATGAGTAAAATTATTAAATGAGTAAATTATTAAAATGAGTGAAATGTCAATAAAATTGCAAAGTATTTGAAAACATTTCACATACAATAGATGTCTTCCCAGGAAAGACATAACACACACTTACACACACATACACACTCCATAATCGGAGATATTTAACTGAGTATTTTAAACACTTGATCTTAATGTATGTCACAAAACTAATTACCTAATTACTACCTGCTGTGATCTAAGCTTATAAACCAGGTTACCCTGAGGTTTCATTGCTCAACATTTAGTAGAAATATGGAATTTAAATGGTGCACAGAATCAGATATTAAGTGCACATTTGTTGTTTAGAGGTTAAGTCTTTTTCTTTTATTCCCTTGCTTTGAACAAAACAACAGGTTTGAAGATACTGTGGGTCTTCATATGGTATCTCCTTGTACCACCAGAAGAATCAGAAGTGATTCACCAAAATCAGTTCATAAATTTGGTAAATTGATCAAGCTTTTACTAATACAGAAGAAATAAATTTGGTTATCTTCTAGATTTTATTTGTTCCTAGTTAAATAATTTTGCTTGTTCTTTAATAGCCGTCCCTGGTACTTGAAATAAAGTTCTAGAATTTTGCATTGTCAGTAATCAGGGAACTACATTATAATTTCAAAAGAAGTGTGCTTTTCAAGATACATAGTTCAGTAGAAAATGATTCTTTCAGTTTTGCTGTCCGTAGAGCGTTAATTTTATCTCATTCTTCAGGTAGTTATTCTGTACTTAACCCTTCTATTTTGGAATCATAAGCTTTTAAATGTTATGGAAAGTAACGGAGAACAGTTAAAATCCTTGACAGCAGCACCTTTTGATTTAGTAAGAGAATTTGGATTAATAAGAGAAATAACAAAACTTGTTCATTGCATCTTATTTTCCAGCTCTAGTTCTTAAAATATTATCCATGATTTATAAGTTAGTGCAGAGCAACACTTATGCAACCAAAAGGTAAATATATTGTTCCACTAAATAACTCCTTTAAATGAAATGCATTATGGTCAGCAAGTGGCATGGTGGTTAAGGCTCTGGATTCCAAGTGGCCGACTGTGGTTTGAGTCCTGGATCCGACAACTTGAAACTCACACTGTGCATGTGCGTGCATGCACTAAATCTCAGGAGCAGGGTGGAGGAGAAGGGATTGCAGTATGGCCATCCCCCGGGGAAGTAGTTTCTCACTTTCTGTCTCCCTGTCTCTCTATCTCTTCTTCAACAAGTGCATGCAACCTATGGCAAAAAAAAAAAAAAAAGTGTTGTGTTGTTGGGGTCAACTTTTATTATATATTTTAAAAGTTATGTAAGGCTAGACTATGTAATGAGTATTTTTTTATATGTGGTGGTTCATCCTGTTAAAATTTTCCTAAAATAACACTCTAATTCTTGTCATATTCAAAGAGAATGGTCATTAAAAATACATATTTTACATTTTCATAGAGACATATATTACACTGACAGCCAGCTCTTTGGTAACCAGACTGTTGTGGACAGTATTATCAATGACATTTCCTGTATGCTAAAAGTGCCAAGGAGAAGTCTACATATAGTAAGTATTGCTTAATACAAAATACTTGATTTGAAAACAAAATGTATAAAAATTACAATAAAAAGCAAATATAATCTTTCTCTTCTTTTGATATCACTTGATACTATATTTTCACTGTAAATTTAAGTAATATGGACCAAAACTGATGAATTACCAAATATTTATTTTATTTTATTTTATTTTATTCATTCATTTATTTTAATTTGACCAGAGAGAGGCAGCGAGAAAGAATGAGAAAGCAAGCTGCCAGGTCTGGGACTCGAACTGTGGTCAGTCATGTGGGAGTGTCCAGCACCTTAACCACCACGCCACCTGCTGGTCCTTACCAAATATTTTAAGTTCCTAAATACCCTTACATATTTTCTCCTTCATTTCTTAAATTCCAATCTGAGCTAAAATACAAATATTTCAGTGAGTGAAACACACAGAGTGATCTTGTGGCTTATAACATATTAGTGAAAAGTACTTCAAATATCTGTTTTTTTTTTTTTTTTTTAGTTATCAACATCAAAAGGTTTAATTGCTGGCAATTTAGGATACATCGAGGAAGATGGCACCAAAGTGAATTGTACCTGTGGTGCGACGGTAAATGTCTTAACATTTTCACATACTTTAACTCCCTTTCCTTCCTTAGATTTTGAAATGTATTTTATTCCTTACTTTGTTATCTAGGTTAGAGCTAGTTTAAAATAAAACTGAAGAATGAATAGGTGTATGCTTTATGGGATTGTATATTACATAGTTTTAAAATATGCTGATTGTCAAATGTCCTATTGCAATATACATACATATCCTTTTTTTATTTTTTTGAGAGTTTTTTTTGCTATAGGGCGCATGTGCTCACCAGAAAGACAGAGAGAGACAGAGAGACAGAAAGTGAGAAATCACCCCCTGGGGGGGGGATGGCCACGTCACAATCTCTTCTCCATTCTCCTCTCGGGATCTTGGGCACAGATCCACATGTGCCGATGTAAGTTTAAGCCACCAGGTCCAAGGACTCAGACTGTGGTCAACTACTTGGGAGTCCAGCGACATAGCCATTATGCCAATTGCTGGTCCCCAAACATATCCTTTTAAAAATGTTATTTTCAGGAAGAGTATGACTTGAGCATTTTTGCATGATTATTTATATACTCTTCATATACTTTTCTGCTTCTGAAAGTAAAATATTTATATTAAACTATTTGCTGGGCTTTGGTACATTGATAGCCTACAGTACTAAACTAAGACAACAGTTTGAAAGAAGCCAACTTTCCAATTTAGAAAGAAGGAAAATACCAATGAGATCCTGTTCTGCTTTATGAACCACATATATATAAAGCTTCCAAGAAATCTTTCCCAAGCTGGGAAGTAGTGTGAATTGTATATAGGTTTTCCTACTGACAGATAAAATTGTTTTCTACTTTTTTAAAAAAATTACTTTATTTAACTTTATTTATTTATTTTAATTTGACCAGAGAGAGAGAGAGAGAAAGAGAAAGTGAGAAAGAAAGCCACCAGGTCCAGGACTCAAACCATGGTTGACCATGTGGGAGTTCAGCGCCCTTAACCACCACGCCACCTGTCAGACACCCCACACACACTGTTTTCCTATTGAGGAATAAATCTCTTCAACGTATAGTCAAAGAAAAATGAAAATGTGGGATTTTTATAAGAATTTATAAAATGCTATACTTTTCATTTAAAATAGAAATTGTCTTTTTTCAAAACATAGGCTGTTGCTGTACCATCTAATATTCAAGGAATTCGGAGTATCCTTTAAGTAGGAAAAAATTCATAAACTCCATTCAGTCATTCCCTTGAGAAACCAAGTCTTCATAACATGTAACGAGTAAGGCAGGCCCTGTAGGCAGTCAAAATGAACACTCCCTGGTCCCTTCTTTAGGACTCAGGAGCTCACCATCTACTGGAAGAGACAAATATCTAGTTATATGAATAGATATCTGTTTATATATGTTTAAAGATAAAAACAAAAATATGTCTCTGCTTGCTTTTGAATTGATCTATATAGGTACCATAATTCAGTTGGTAATTAAATTTAAATACTCTTGCCTCCAATTTATTAGCCTTAACTGCACAGATTTAATTACAGATGCAAAATTTCTATTAATTGTAGAAAAAGATGCGACATTTCAGCGGCTCCTGGATGACAACTTTTGCAACAAGATGTCTCCGTGCATTATGGTCACGGTGTGTTATCTACCTTTACTACAGCTCCAAGACTAATAGCTTATTTTGGTGATTGGTAAAAGGGCTTATAACATCCTTTTTTTAAAAATCATGTTATCATCTACAAATAATTATCCATTTCTTGTTTCTTGTATATATATATATATTTTTTTTCCCCCTTATTTCTCACCCTCTGCCATTTCTCACCCTTCTCCCACACTGTCTCTGGTATCTACAGTTGCTTTCCATTCTTTTATTTTTTTCCCCATTTCATTGATTCACAAAATATCTTAATGAATCTAAATACTTTCAATAGCAAGTTCAGCTGATATATACATATCTGTGAACACATGTTGACTTCAGGCATGAAACTCTGTGGGTAGAATGAATTAACTATAAAGTAGCACCTAACTGAGGCTATATAGCTTACTGTGATCATTAAATAGGTACTTTTAATTTTTTTTTTTAATTTCAAGAAAGATAGTTTTAGCTTTAATAAACCAAAATCAAGGAATGTTAAGAGAACTTTGCTTAAGACTTAGAGCCAGGAAACAGATTAGGATTCTGTTCGACTAGTAGGTACGTGGACCTGTCCACAACACAAGAGAAGACAAAAATTATCTGAGAATGTTCTTGTCCTCTCTTCCCATAGGAAGGATAATCTTGCTGGATATAGTGTTCTCGGTTGAAATTGTTTTCACTCAACACTTTGAGTATAGTTTCCCATTCTTTCCTTGCTCACATTGTTCCCAATGAGAGGTCCACTGTGAGCCTGAGGGGATATCCTTTGAAGGTGACTTGACTTTCTCTCTTGCCAGTCTGAGTATATCTTGTCTTTGTCTGTGGTTTTGGTCAATCTGGCTATTACGTGTCTTGGAGAAGATCCTGGGTTGATGCTATTTGTGATCCTTTGCATTTGTTGGGGCTGGATCTTTGAATGTCTCTCTAGGTTTGGGAATTTTTCTTCAAGGATTTCATGGAATAGATTCTCAATGTCCTTGTTAGTCTCTTCACATTCTGTGATACCAATTATCCTGATCTTTGGACATTTAATGGTATCTAGTATTTCTTGTATATTATTCTCATATTTTTGGGCTATTTTCTGTCTTCATGGTGGATTTTACTAGTCCAGCAATTCTGTCTTCTACATCTGAGATTCGATTTTCTGTATGATCTAGTCTGCTTTTAATACTTTGAAGAGAGATTTTGACCTCCTGTATTATAGCCTTCATCTCTAACATTTCCATTTGATTCTTCTTATGGCGTGTAATTCCTCTTTCAGCTCTCTTAAGAACTTCCTCATCTCCTAGAACTGGTCGGCTCTTTTCTTCTGGAGTTCATTGTCTCTCTTTTCTTCCATCTTTGTTAGCTTTGTCACTATGAATATTCTAAATTCTTTATCAGACATTTCTGTGAGTTCCATTGTACTGTCTGAGAATAAAGAGGAGTTATTTTCCCTTGGAGAAGAGATATTTTCTTGGTTTCTCATATTTCTTCTGTCTACAGTGATTTCTGTCATCTGATAAGTTATTCATTTCTTCCTAATTTCTAGAAGTTCAATCTGAGCAACAGAGGCACACAGGAGGAGGTGGTCTGCACACTCTTTGCTGTTTAGTTATTCTCTTTTTGTGTCACAGATTCAGTGGGAATTGGTGAATATGTTGACTCTGATGATATTCAGATGCTTGGCTGCTTTTCACTTAGACCTGTCTAGACACTCAGTGTGTTGAAGCTGAGCAGCAGAGTGATGAGGTAAAAGAAAAAAGCTAAGAAAACAGAGCAAGCGAGAGAGAAAAGGGAAAAAAAGTTATTTATTTATTTAAAAGCAAAAACTAAAAAAGAGCACGCTGCACGAAAGCACTAGATCTCAGCTCTCATGGCAGACTCACTCTTCTTCTGGCCTGCCTTTTTTGCCTGTCCTAGATGGGAGAGAAGAAGCGGAGGGGATTATTACCAAGATAAAGGAGGATTTCCGAGCCAAGAAAATACTTTACCTTAAAAAATGTTTAAACAATTAAAAAATGAAAAGGCAGAGACAGATAGAAAGAGACAGAGAGAGGGATAGAGGGGGCTCTACCAGGGCGACTTCTCTGCAGAACATCTTCATTTATTCCCTGAAAGCACTAGGTCTCAGCTCTCATGGTGAACTCAGTCTTCTTATAACATCCTTGTTTTATATAATGCATCATTTGGGGTCATAGAACAGGAGTTTCCAAGATATTTGTTTAAACATTTTCAAATCTAACATCAAGGTGATGGCCCTGATTCTTAAATGCTGGCCGTTTTCTAATCCCAGTGAGCTTACGTGAGTTCTTGGTGTCACCCTCACACCTCCCACGTGGACTACTTGTCTCCATTATTTTATGTAACATGGGAATTGAATGAACATTCATCAGTAGGTTGAATGAACAAAGGCTGCTCCTTGTTCTTCCACACAGAGGGCTGTGTACCAAGTTAGTACAATAATTTAACTAATGTAGTCCAAAAGAATCTGCTTTAAAAACCCCATAAATATGCACATAATGGCAAAGAACACTGAAGTATATGTTATGGTCCCTGAAGCTGAGATGACGCACAGGGAACTACAGATATCAATTAGCAAAGGGCAGTGCCTTAGTCAGCCCTGGCTGCTATAACAGGATACCATAGACCAGGCGACTAGGACAACACATTATTTCTCAGAGTTCGGAGGCTGGAAGACCAAGATCAAGGTGCCAGCATATTCAGTGCCCACTTCCTGCTGTGTGGATGGTCATACTCTTACCGAATTCTCACAAGGTGGAGCAATAGTAAACATGTTCTTGGGGTCTCTTTCATAGGAGACTAATCCCATCACGAGGGCTCCACTATCATGGCCTATCACCCCTCAAAGGCTCGGCTCTAATTCACATCAGGGGTTAGGATCTCAACATATGAATTTGGAGGGGACACACTCAGTCCACTGAATGTAATAAACTTCCTACTACAGGGTAATGTGGGAGGAGTTTATAAAACTGGGTGATGGACGAAACCTGCTGGAGTAAGAAATAAAGAAACGTGAAAATAAAAGCCTGGGGTGTAGGTGGGTGGACTGACTAGAGTAAGAGGTGGGTCAGGTTTCCCTCCTTTATAAGCTCTTTTCCCAGCCTTCTGCTTTTATAGATCTATATAAAAACCTAGTTCTTTGAAAAAGAAAAAGCTCATCTACTTAAAATTCTTCTGGTTTACTGGATTAAGAGTAAGTACGTTGTTTGTGAGCTATGTTTGTGGAAGTAGCCAGGAGAGCTACCCTGGAGAGGAAGCAGGGCTCTGGGCAGCTAGGTGGAGCCTTGGAATGCCTGGCCTAGCCAGAGGAGGCCCTGGATTTAGTGCAGGAGGGAAAGGATGAGGATTAGTGTGGCAGTGCGGCCATTAGCTGAGCTGAGAGTCGCTTGAGTCCTGGAGCTCGTCAGAAGACTGCTAGGGGTTGTCTTGGCATACGGAGGAAAGGGGGAATCACTAAGGGAAAAGGACAGAGACAAAGTACACATTCAAGGCCAATTTGAAAGGACTTGGTGGCTGTGGGATGTGAGGAGCCAATACAAATAATTGGTGTGTGGAGTTTTCTCAGATCACCTTGATGGCTGCAAGGTAAGTGACAGGGATACTCAGCTCTTCGTGGAAGAAAGAGTTTGAGTATAGTTCTAGAAGGAAGAACTTGAGGTGATAGCAGGAAATCTTAGTGGCATCTGCCAAGTCTGAAGTTAAAAATAGGAGTTGAGGGACAAGTAGATGGTGTGATGGTTATGCCACTGGACTCCCACGTGGCTAACCTTGGTTCAAGTCCCAGACCCGGTGGCTTGAAACTCACACCAGATGCATGTACATTTGTGCCCAAAGTCCAGAGAGGAGAAAGGGAGACAAGGGATTGTGACATGGCCATCCCTCCTGTGGTGAGTGAGTTCTCACTTTCTGTCTCTCTCCTCAAGCACATGTGCCCTGTAGAAAAACAAAAACAAAAACAAAAAACACCTCTCTTAAAAACAAAACAAAACATCCCAGGAGTTAAGATGGAAAATGCAGACATTTTTGGGTGGGGAGAAGGCTCATCTACTTGAAAAACTGTCTACGCCCCTGAAATGAATGATCTCTCTGGGATGTGTTCTGTGCTCGCGTTTTGCCTCAGACCTCCCCTCCCGGCATACCTCACCAGCGAGAGGCATGCTTACCTGGCTGACTGGAAGCCAAGCCACTACAGAGAGAGGACGCTGCAGTGGCTTGAGTCTCTGTTCAGCCCTTGGTGTTTGAATCACGTCTGAGACTACAGCTTTGGAGACGCACATAAAGAGTGACTGTTGCATTTGTGTCGAGAGATGATACCACAGTGCTGGTTGTTGTATATAAAGAACATATGTTTAAAGAGGGACGCGTCACACAATCCTCCCCTCTGCCCATCTGCCTTCCAGCCCTTGCCTGAACGCATGTGTGCTTAGTCCTCACTGCTGCCATTAGGCTGCCCTTGGGTAACTGCTGCTGCTCTTGCTGTGGGACAGCCATAAGAAGCCTACTGGCTGCCTCTGAAGAGGAAAGCTGGGAACTGAGGGCCAAACGAGGCAGACGCCATTATCACCTTTGTCTTTTGGTCCTGTTTGACTCCTCGACAGTGTGCGTGTGTTGTTCCCAAAGGGAAAAATGGAAGTACACCACTGTCACTAAGTGTTCAGGAGGAGCCAGGAGCCTGGCCTAGTGGTTTACACAGCAAGAGTTCACATTTACTGCTGTGTGTCACATAACAACTTGAAAGACCCTCAATTACCTTACGAGGTAGGTGCCATTCTCCTCCTCCGCTAGTCACAGGGTACTAAATGCGGAAGGTGTTTGACCACAGTCCTGCACAGGTCCAAACCTGGCCTCAGATCCCGATGGTTGTGCTCTGTGTTGCTACAAAGCCGTAACAGCCCGAGGCAGGCGTGTTATCATGGGTTATAGATAAATCCATGGAAAAGGACTGAAAAATCACCCACTATCACACCACTCCAGTCGTGGGCAGAGGGGATTCAGGCCCAGAGCTGTCTGTCCCAAGCCCACTCTGACCTCTCTGTGCACTCTACTCCTGTCCTCAGCTCTAAGTTTCATGTGACTTTCTGTCTTTCCCTTAACTAGGATGCTCCAAGTTGCTTTTCTACATGATTATTCCTTTAATGACTTCATTCCACCCTGTAGGGTTTCTTAGACCTAAATGTAAACCACTCTTGTAAGTGCTTTATAACTATTAAATAGTGTAATTCCTAATAACCTTATAAAGGATAACAGTGTCCTAGACCGCAGACGGGTCTCACTCCTCATTCAGTTCGTGCTGCCAAGAGGTGGCAGGGCCGAGATGCCAGCCTGAGGTGGCCGAGGCTGGAGCATCTCCCTGCACCGTGCTCCTCTCCGTGTCCTTATGGTGGGTGGTTTGGCTGCTTATGTTAGTTTGGGCCATTTAGAATAACACTGCAGGGAGCACCTTTAAGTATACAGGATTTTTATTTCTGTTTCTGCCGCAGTATTTCCTTAGGATCATTTCCTAGGACTGGGATAACTGAACGTATATGAGCCCCTTCACCCTGGTGTACAGAGCAGAGAATAGGGTTCATTTCCCCACACTCAGCACCAACTCACCATCTAGAATTTAAGGTGGGGGGTGTAACTTTTAAATGGTTAAAATGAGGGTGTAGTTGTGTCTGTTTCATTCTGCTGGCAGTGAAAATGCCTACTTCCATCTTGCTTG